TTTGATTTCGTTACAGTGGCTGTCATGACACCTTCCCCTCCCTTGCTACTGTTCAATTTTTGTTTGAATACTATTTATACAGTCATACTTCTGTGATTTGTATTGCTTCAAAAATGAAGATATGCCTCTGTTTCTTCTAATTAATTTATAATTTGATGAAATGTTCATGTATTAGAAAAAAGTCTTCAGTTGTACCTTGATTGTTTGGTTATTGATTTCATTCTATTCATTTAGCTTTGTCTTGGAGGGGGCTTCTATTATTCACAGGTGGAATTATACTCTACTCTCTATTGTGCATGAGTTGAATTTTACTTGATTCCCTGTTCTTTATCTATCACCATCCCTTGGCGCAAGCCAAGCTACTCATGCTGTTTGACAAAGTCCAAGTACAGGGGACGATCCTGAAAACAGGAGACTCCACAGCTGGCTCCTGCTATTCTCTTTCATTTTGTTTATGGCAATCTTTATAATTGTGGGAATATTTCTGGGCTGGCTCCTGCTGTTCTTTTTCATTTTATTTATGGCAATCTTTATAATTGTGGGAATATTTCTGGGGTTTCATGATAAAGTGACTACTCAGTTACGCCTATCTAAGCAATCATAATGAAACTAATTCCACGAAGAATTAGTTTCTATAGAACAAAATAACAAGACGGTCACACTCTGCCTAGCACCTTTCTCTTTGAGTACTGTTTTTTAGTTTTAGCGAAAGCCAATAAGCAGAAATCAATAAAGGTCATGTTAATCATTACAAAGGAAAAATGAAAGAAGGCTATGGCTGTAATCCAGAAAATGATCTAAGATTTGGAAAAACAAAAATAGCCTAACATACAAATAAAGTTCCTCCGATGTTGTCAGGAGGAGATGCTTGCAACCTGACCCTGTGTCTGTGTCTCCTCATTCGCCGACGCCGTCCTTTCCTACGAGAGACCCACCCCGGCTGGAGCTGGACTCCAGCAATCCCTCTTTTTCTTGCTAATTTCTTCCTCATTTTTGGTATGTGTTCCATAAAATTTTCGGTCACATTCCTGCAACGTACTGCTTTCTAAGTGATTTTAATTGTTCTGTTGTAAAATTCATCCTGCTCTGCTCTTATTTTGTAACTTCTGTATTTCTTTTTTTTAATTTAAAATATTTTATTTTTAAGTAATCTCTGCCCCCAGTGTGGGGCTCAAACTTACAACCCTGAGATCAAGAGTCCCATGCTCTACTGATTGAGCCAGCCGATGCTCCATAACATCTGTATTTCTTACCACCTTGTTGTGATAGTTAATTTTTTATACAACATTCATGTAGTTCTTGGATGAGCATTATTAATGTCTATTCTTTTTGCTTTGGTCTTTTGCACTTTAAAACTTTTTGGTTTTTCTTACTTTACAGTTATTTTGGTCATCTTCAGAGGCCAGGAAGGTCCCAGGGACCAGGTTGCTTTTGGTTGCTACTGTTTTCTTTGGCAGTGTTACTGGCATATAGTAGATGCCCAGGACGTGAATGCATTTGAGAGAATGCTTTGAATCTCCTATTTCAGTTCCTTATTTAATGATAGAATATACATCTGGAGTTTCAGTAAGAACCAGTTGTTACTTAAAGTTAATTGGGGTTGAAATTTGGCTGAGCAGGGTGGGATATGAGGGAACTGTGGTTGATTTGTGATGAATTGGAGTTCAGTCCCAAATGGATTCTGCTTTCATATTCTTTCCAAATCTTTCCAAAGTCTGCCAGTAGTATCTAGTATTGTGGCTGTCCTAGTCTTGTTTCAGCTATGCAATTAATGAGAGGGTTTCTACTAAGCCATTGCTTGGAGATTTTGGGGGTAGTTGGGACAGATGAGATTACTACTTGTTCAGCTATCAATACACTAGGTCTAAGAAAGAAGATGCTTCCTGAATTGGGGTTTAACAGTCAAGTTGACTGCTCTTAATCGCATCTGATTGATATTGGAGATTGGAGAAAGCCTTATCAGAAATTAGAATGTGCTTCTAATTTCCACAGTCCATTTCAGCTACGATTATAGCTTTTTCTGGATCCCCCAATGTAAAATATCAATGTATATTTTAATGAGTTTTTGATGGAAGTGCATTCTTACTCTTACTCCAGTGCATTCTTACTCTGCTATCTTTCAGGAAACCTCTGTAATTTCTTAGCCATGGATGGTTTTGAGATTAGTTGAGCTATACAAATGGTGGTTATAAGAAAATTTAGAGATTCCATTTACATTGTAGTAGTTTAAAAACTTTTGATTCTGTGACAGTGCTTTGGGTTAGGGTAGACTATGGTGCAGTTACACATTTGCTCACTTGCTGGAAAGATTTGTATTATAGAGGGATTGTGCAGGTTAAAGAATCTGGACAAAATGGAAGGTGAACTTCGGTGGTAAATTGTATTTTTGAAAAGGATTGAGACATACTCTGACTTAAATACTTTTCTTGGAGTCTTACTTAACAAAGACTTTTTTCTCCAAATGTGGAATATCTATATAACCTAACCTTGGATTTAATATTATTAATTAAAACATTTAAGGAAAGTAGCAAATGCTTAAAAAAATTCAAAATAATGAGGAATTACCCCATCTCCTGCCCCTCTCAAATGCTGGGGTTATGGTGGGGTAGAAGAGCCCATCACTCATTATCTTGGTTAGCTGGTGGGGGGAAAATGTTGAATTGTTGAAAACCATTGGACCTGATGATCTGTAGAGTTCTCTTTAGTTTCTAAAATTCTATGCTTTTTTTTGTTATATCATCAAGAGCAAATATAAGTGAGGAGCAAGCAATGAGTGTTTTGTCTTTTAGAAAGATAGTTTAATTATCTTGTTGCTCCCTTGCTTTAAAAACCTGCAGTGGTTCATAATCCTTGAGGGTTTTTAAAGGGTGGGCAGGCTCAACTCCATCCCAAATCCCAGATCAAGCGGGAAAGCTTGATTGGAATAATGAGGAAAAATTCTTTGTTTAAAATAATGTTTTAAACATAAGAAGTTTAAAATATCAATGTTGAGTTTTCAACTTGGAAATAGTAGGAAGTATTGTATTAATCTGCTAGGGTTTCCATAACAAAATACCACAGACTGAATGGCTTTAACAACATATTTTCTCACAGTCTGGAGGCTTAAAGTTTGAGATTGAGGTTTCAGTAGGGTTGGTGCCTTATGAGTCCTAAGGAGAGGACTCCTTAGCTTGCAGATGGCTGCCTCCTCCCTGTGTCCTCACACGGTTTCCTGCGTGTACCCTGTTGTCTCTCTGTGTGTCCAGATTCCCTCTTAGAAGGATATCATGAGTAAGCTGGATTAGGACCTACCAAAACTGTCTCATTTTAACAGTCATTTCTTTAAAGGCCCTATCTCTAAATACTGTCATATTCTGAGACCAGGGTTAGGGTTTCAACATATGAATTTTGGGGGAGACACAATTTAGTACATAACAAACATTAATAACTAGGAAGGGATTTCTTACTTACCATTATCTTTGCTTTTCAGCTGGTAATTATCAAGATTGCCAGGGAGAGCTCTCAGCTATTAGTCTTACAAACTATGTTCTAAGTTAGAAGAGAACATTTTCTTCCTAAAAAGCTAAACTCCTAAGTCACTTATTAAAATAACAAAACTTGATACATACATATTTCAAAAAGTCAAATAGTGTTAAGAGGTATGGTATATTTATAAAACAGAATTCCTTACCCTCACTCTCAACTCTTTTCTTCTAGTATTTATTTCTAGTTGTTGTTTTTTTTAACCTCTATATTTCTAATTGATCTATGCATGCATACAAGCTATTTCTTAATTCTTGTTGATGGATTTTTGTTGTTGTTGTTGACTTTCTATTATGGTACATAAGGATTTCAGTTCTCTTACACCTTTTCCTCTACACCCTCATTCTTCTAATATAATTATATCATACTTAAAAAAATCCATATTTAGCATTTCATAATTGTGACTGTGTAAAAACTATTTGCCAAGCCAATACTGTGACTATTTTCTTTCTTTATAATTTTTCCTGGAGTTATTAAATTACCTTGTTTTTTTCCATTTGCTTAGTTTTCTTTGAACCTGAGGCTATATTTCCTGTATCTTCAAATGCCTTTGTCAAAATCTCTCTCAATACAATATTCTGTACTTTGAAACCAGTAGGATAATTTATCAGTCTCCCCTTCCTGCAGCCATCTTGGATCCTCTATCACATTTCTGTCTGGATTTGTTGCCTCTAGGCCATCTACACATCTGTTACCTAGGACTTTGCCTCATTACCATATTGGGGATTATTTTAGTTTTTCTCCTGTACTGGATCCCTTCTTTACTGGATATTATCTTCCTTGGTTTATTTTGCTGATTTTGATAGGATATATATTCTACAGTAGGTTCTAGAGGAAGGGTAAATAAAAGCTAAGTTTTGGAGATTAAATTCTGCTATCACCATTGATTATCTGGGCATAGCATTCAAAATTGAAAGAAAATCACTTAATTTTTTTAATTCTTAAAAATAGAAACTGCATGTTCATGAACTGAAATTTGGAAGGTTCAGAGGGTTATGGGTAGGGGAAATGTGTCTGTAGCAGGAGGGAGTTTTTTGGGATGACGAAACTGTTATGTATTTGATTCTAATGGTGGCTTTACCAGTTTCTATATGTTAAAATCCATAGAACTGTTCACCAAAAGAAAATAGTTATTTTTTTTAAAAGTTCACTTTGTATGTATGATAGCTTAAGAACTAAAAAATAAGTAAGAATTTAAAAGGGCAAAAAGGTATACAGCAAAAAGGAAGTTTCTTTTCTTTCTCTCTCTGTTAGCTTTCCAGTTTTCCTTTCTGGAAGAAACCACTGTTACCAGTTTCCTATGTATTCTACCACTTAATCACTCTTGGACATGTAAACAACATTTAGGGGCAAATCAGGCAGAACTGAAAGGAAGTTAAATTTGCTCAGTATTTTCTGAGATTACTACTCTTAGAATAACATCTAAAATGTTATTAATCAAGCCTGGCACTAATTTGTTAAAATTATTTCTCCTACAGTTGGCAAACATGAATTGACTGGGCATAAAGTTGCTGTGAAGATACTCAATCGACAGAAGATTCGAAGCCTTGATGTGGTGGGAAAAATCCGCAGAGAAATTCAGAACCTCAAGCTTTTCAGGCACCCTCATATAATTAAACTGTAAGATCTGATTATATTAAATATAGTCATATCATTTTTTAATCATTTTTGTTAACCTGCTTAATCTGACGAGTGAGAAAGATGACTGACATTTCTTGAATCATCCCTCAAGGTTTTAAAATTTCTGCCTGTTCATGTATTCATCTAACCCTATTCATGGTCACTTAAATCTATGTCCATGTTTTGCCCTTGTGCTTATCAGCTGTTAACTTTCTCGTTCTTGTCCTCTGTACATGCCGTCTGATCGATAACTTTCTGTGCTTCTATTGCTATAGAACCAACAATGATTTGCTAGTAGAAAATGTTGACCTCCACATTTCACATGATGTCACTTAGCCTCACTAGAGACAAGAGAAAGGCAGTAGAAAGGGTTTCCCCCCCACGCTGCTTATATCTGATAAAACAAATCACAAATGACAGAATTTCAGGAATCCAGTATTCAGAAGGGCAATAGTAGAATTCTGGTGGTTTTACAGTTGCCAATTGTAGGGTCTCCATAGAACTTACTTATTGCTCAGTTTTCTTATGCGGGCTGTCAGTTACAACTGCTAAGGCTTTTATACTGAACTGGCTGGCTCCAGATTTGTTTCACTCTCACCTCTTCTCATTTGCTGAGGTGCCATGGTTTTAAGGTGCATATGGGTGCTGATGACCCCTAAGTACACATCTCCTGCTTTCATACCTCTTCCCTGAATCCCAGTTTCATACACCCACTGCCTACTTTACATCTCCATTTGGATGCCAGAACTGAACTTTCAGTTATCCTCCCCCAGCCTGCTCTTCACACAGTTCTCACCCTCTGAGTTAATATCCAGTTCCTCAGGGCAAAACGTAGGAACCATCCTTAACTTCGTTGTTTCTCTCACTTCCTACCATCCATTCCATCTCTTTCTTCAAAATAGATCTAGGATCTTAGTGTTTCTCAGTTCCTTCATTGCCATCAACCTCATTTGAGCCACCGTCATCTCTGTCATGGACTCCTGCAGTAGCTTCTTGCTTCTCCCTTTACCATCCGCAGTCAGTTCTTCACATTGCTGCCATAAATTAAAGCCACCCTTTTAATAGATCAGACCACATGACTACTTTGCTTAAAACCTTCAGTAGCTTTGCATCTCCCTTAGAGTAGAAGCCAAAACTTCATCCTGGCTTGTAAGGTTCTCTGTCCTTTAGTCTCCAGTTACCTCTTTTACTCCACATCCTGTTTCTCTCTGCCAACTCACTCTGCTCTAGCCTTCTTACCATTCCTCAAACATGCCAGGCAGGCTTCTACCTCAGGGCCTTTGCACTTGCTGTTCTCTCTGCCTGGTTCACTTTCTTCCTAGATCATGGTATGGTTTGCTCCCTTCTGTCAGGTTCTGCTCAAATGTTACTTTATCAGAGTCCTTCCTTAAACACCCTGTATGAGAGACTCCCCTCAGTTTGCTTTGTTTCTCTTCATAGCATGTTCCACCACCTGAGATATTGCTTGTTTATTTAGTGTCTGTTTCCTGGCTCCTGGAACATGAACTCCATGAAGGCAGAGAATTTGTTTTGTTCCCTGCAGTTTTCCCAGCTAATAGCATAGTGCCTGCTATATTATAGGCGCTTAGTGAATATTTACTGAATGAATGAATATACATGTTTTAATATTCGTAGATAATGTTTTCTCTCACCAGGTACCAGGTCATCAGTACACCATCTGATATTTTCATGGTGATGGAATATGTCTCAGGAGGAGAGCTATTTGATTATATCTGTAAAAATGGAAGGGTAAGCAGTTCTGATTTAATCCTGTATATATTTTGTAACTCCCCTTGTTCCTTACTAGCTTTAAGATGTCAGTGATTTTGTTAAGAGGTCTACTTAATAACCAGTTCCCTTAGTCATGTATTTGTCAAGAATCATAGACTATTTAGAGTTAGAAAAGACCTTAAAGATATTTCCTTAGCCTGCTTATGCAGATGTGGAAGCTGAGACTCACGATTTATATATTTACTCAAGGTCACGTGGTTTATTAATGACAGAATTGGATTGAGACCCCAGAACTCATGATCCTCCAACTCATGCTTTTGGGGTATACAAATACTTGTAACATGTATCTTGAAGTATATATTTAATCCTTACAAAATGTATTAATACTTAAAGATCTAGGCTTGCTAGTCAACCCTAGCCACATTTAAATTGCATTCATTTTTTGGTTTCAGAAATCTGATGTACCTGGAGTAGTAAGAACAGGCTCCATGAAGGAGGTAGGAATTAGACTTAAAGAATTTAGAGTTGGAAGGAACTTTAGAAGGCATTTGGAACAGGTCTTAAGTTACAGACCCAAAAAGTGAACACCGCCCCCCCACCCATATTTTTTTTCTTATACCCAGGTTAAGTGGTATGCTAAAACCTCTTTCTAGAAGACCTGTATCTAGCAATGAGAAGCCATTTTTTCCCTCCCAATCTAAAGTTCTTTATATCATTCATTCATTTGTTCTGTGTAGCGTATCTGTTTACTTTCATCAAAACCAAGCTCATTAAATGACCAAGTTAATTTTGATTTTACCATTTTTTAACATGGTTCTTTTCAATTTTCAGGTATTCTATTTCTCTGTTCACTAACCCTCCCTTCCCCCCCACTATGTTATGCCTGGAATAATGGAAACAGGCAAAAGTTGAATTGGCATCTTGTTCTCTTATCTTTTCCGTTTGTCATTTCTTGGTCATTTTGCTTTACATTATGGGAATTTTCTTCAATTTTTTACCTGTTGCATATTAACATTTCAGCTGCCATATTTTCTATTTCAAAGATCTTTCTTGTTTTCTGAAATTTTCTTTTTTAAATAGCCAGTTCTGCTCAACAGATACAATAACCTTATCTGTCTGAGGGTAACAATTAGGTTTTTTTTTAAAGTTTTTAATTTTAATTCCAGTATAATCAACACACAGTGTTATATTAGTTTCAGGTGTACAGTCTAGTGACTCAGCAATTCTGTACATTACTCAGTACTCATCATGATAAGTGTACTCTTAATCCCCATCACCATTTCACCCATGCCCCCACTCATCTCCCCTTTGGTAACCATAAGTTTGTTATCTATAATTAAGAGTCAACAATTGTAGTGTTTTTTTGTTTTGTTTTGTTTTTGTTTTTTTAAGTCTTCATCTGTTTCCTGCATTGTTACTCTACCTTCTGTGCTCCATTTTATTGGTCTTGGTCTTTTGTACATGGCCCTTCCTCAGATGTCTGGTGATTCTTGGTTGTCTGCTTATATTTATTTGAGTGAGGTACTGAATGCCAAGCTCATGTAGGTGGAACTTATTGATTGGTGGGCCTTCCCATCCTTTGAATAGGTAGGGATCTGTCCATTTTATTAGGATATACCAAATGTCCGTAATTTCAAATATTTTTCCTTAGATCAGAAAGTTGCTCCAGAAGAAACCTTCCAATTTTCTTGAGGGTATTAGCTGTCAGTACTCTGAGAGCTGAAATGGGAAGAGGCCTGCAAGTCTCAGTAGTTAGTATGTTGACTTCCACTTAATCCCCGTGTTTTCCTTCTGGTGCCTCATCTCTGCCTTGGTGTCCTTGAGAATAGAGCTGGTTCAGCCTTCCTAGAGTAAATCATGGGTCTTATTCCTCAGGTGGGGTGAGTTTAAAACTTCTTACTGTAACCGATTGTCCTGTTTTCAGTCCTCCTCTCATTTCTCCCTTCCCAAATTTCCAAGGCTTCTAAAAGCTTTTCCAGGGTTCTGTGTGCAGGCTAGTTTATTACTGGTTTCCACCCCTGTGGGCTTAGGTTTCTGCTCTCTCTGTTGGTGAAGTCTTTATCACTGTTCATCCATTGTACAGTTTAGTGACTCCTCTTTTTTTTTTTTTAATTTTTTATTTAAATTCAGTTTAGTTAACATATAGTATATTATGAGTTTCAGGGGTAGAATTTAGTGATTCATTGGTTGCATATAATACCCAGTGCTCATGACTTCAAGTGCCCTCCTTAATGCCCACTGACTCCTCTTGATGACTGTTGTCACTTCTCTTGCTCTTTTTGTCTTTATATGCTAATGTCATTTTAGTGATGTTTCAAAGGGTGGAGACAAAAGGTTTGATCTGCCATGTTTAACTGGAAATATGCTTTAACTTTTCTAATATTCTTTTGTAGACTTCCCCTCCATCTTTTGTACTGTATTTGTCAATATAATATAATTTTAATTTTTGTAGCCTGTTTAGTTTACCTATTATATTTTGTTTAATCAGTTTTCTTTCACATTTAGAACACATTCTTTTTTTCACTTAGTATGTTTGATATAAAGTTGTATTAAAAAAGTGAACACTACATTTTTTCTAGAAATAAATGAGACTGCTAACACATTGTTATTTTCTCTAGAGGAAGGGTATCTCATAGTACTTCAGTAGTTTTAATTTTGCTTTCAAAAGAAATTACTAGTTTATCTTTTCTCCTAGATTGTCCCTGCCATGTGAAGTGTAGAAGTCTGGTTTTAGAATGCTAATTTGTGGCCTCTGTTAGAGAATTGCATATTAGAGTCCTTTGCCTAGAGAACTAATAGGCTGTTTATTAAATGTGACTTCTTGGTAGAGGCTCATTCAAGTAATGGTTATTACTTTTGAGAAAAAAAATCATAAGACAAGAAAATATGGATAAATGGAATGAGAAGGTTTTTTTTTTTTGAGTGAGATTTCTTAAAGAATTTTTTTTTTTTAAAGATTTTATTTATTTATTTGACAGAGAGAGACACAGCGAGAGAAGGAACACAAGAGGGGGAGTGGGAGAGGGAGAAGCAGGCTTCCTGCAGAGCAGGGAGCCTGATGCAGGGCTTGATTGATCCCAGGACCCTGGGATCAGGACCTGAGCCAAAGGCAGTCGCTTAACGACTGAGCCACCCAGGCGCCTCAAGAATATTTTTTAAAATGTTAGTTGCTACATAAGATAACTTTTTTCAGATACATGCTTTTTATATTTTATTAAACAAATGAATAAAGGTTTTTCTTTTGTTAAAACTAGAATGTCTTTATTTTAGGACATATAATTTGATTGCTTGCTAATTCATTAAAAATCTTGAATGTTACTTCCTCATATAGTCTAAAATAATATCATCCACCCCAACATAATTCTCTGTGCCCTTATTCTGCTTTATTTTTCTTCAAAACACTCCTTGATGTTATTTTTTTATATTTATTTTTTATTGTCGATTTTTTTTTAAAGATTTTATTTATGTGATAGAGAGGGAGAACACAAGCAAGGGGAACAGTAGAGGGAGAGGGAGAAGCAGGCTTCCTGCCAAGCAGGGAGCCTGATGCAGGGCTCAATCCCAGGACCCTGGGATCATGACCTGAGCTGAAGGCAGACCCTTAACCATCTGAGCCACCTAGGCGTCCCTGTTGTCGATTTTCATCAACTAGATTAGGACCTTTGTTTTATTCATTGCTGTATCTCAAGTGTCTGAAACAGTGCATGGCACATTGAAGATGTTCAATAAATATTTGTTAAAGGAATGAAGGATTAAATATTTCCAATTTATAGGAGAAAACACGTCTAGTTTCAAGTAGAAATTGAAACTATTTGACATAGCTCATGAAATATAGAGGAAAGCAAGCTATGACAATGTAGTCACAAAGGTGATAACAAAGTTGAGTTACTGATTTGGGTTCCAAGATCCTCTTAGCATTTTGTGCTGTATATATCCATCTCCTCCCCATTTCAAAAATGTCTCAGGATGAGGTTCATTTGGAAGATTTCATGCATTTTGACAGTCTTATAGGGTGGAGAATTGCAGGTATAAGAATTTCTTCTGAAAAACACACTTTTAAAATGCCTCTCTACTTTTCTTAGCTGGATGAAAAAGAAAGTCGGCGTCTCTTTCAACAGATCCTTTCTGGTGTGGATTATTGTCACAGGCATATGGTGGTCCATAGAGATTTGAAACCTGAAAATGTCCTGCTTGATGCACACATGAATGCAAAGATAGCTGATTTTGGTAAGGAGATTTTTATAGTTTTGCGTATTCATCATGTTTAACGAACATCAGTAGCATTCTTCAGATAACTTTTACTTCTGTGCAATGGATTGAGTACCCCCAAATAGTGTATCCTCACCATTTTGTCTGTGAGCATACAAAAAAGAGAAGAGATAAGGAATTCTCTTCTTAGCTTTATGTCTTTAAAATTGAGTCTTATGAGAGTAGGTAAATAAGTTGGTAGCCTTAGAAGCATCATTTGATTTGAGACTATTATTTGTGAAGGAGAAGTTAGCAACCTATTTCCAGTGTGTTCTTTTGATCAAGTATAGAGCAAGAGGAGAGACTGGAATGGAGTTACTCAAACTCTGAAAGCCAGAAGGTAAATTATATGAACAAAATTATTAAAAAAAAAAAAAAGTAAAATATTTTAAATGATAGAAAAGCATAATTTCAGCTTGGAGGAACATTATTTTGATTGTCAAAAGTGAATTTATTTTTTCTTTATTTTCTATGTAAATTGCCACTGACATTATTAAATCTAAGAAAATGAATCTCTGCAACTCTCTTTTGCTTAGCTTCAGTTCAAATCAGAGGAGATTGTTATAACTATTTTCCTCAGTTTGGGATATGTGTATTATAATCTGTAGAGATTCATTGAGCACTGCCAGTCAGCTCTGAGCTACTGGTTTGCTGCTGACAAATTATTTGACTTCCTTACTCCTCAGTTGTCATGATGATGATGATTTTTTTTTTTTAATGATTTTATTTTTAAATAATCTCTGTACCCAACCTGGGGCTTGAACTCATAATCCTGAGATAAGAGCTGTATGCTGGCAACTGAGCCAGCCAGGCGCTCCTGTAATGATTATTTTTACCTAGTGCGTTTTTGAGGAGGCAGAGGTTTCTTCTTAGAGTAAAACTATGAGGAAACTTTGGTACTCAAAGTTACTGTTTTTTATTTTATTTTATTTTTTTTAAAGAATCAGAACAGGGGTTAATAGAAACTTTGAATTTTAATTCTTCTACTTATCTGTTGTACATTTTTTCCCTAGTAGTTTCTGTATTAATAAATTTAAATATGCCAAATTTATTCTAGTAAGCGGAATAACCAGTAGCTTAATATATACTCATTAAATTTCAATAATGCACTAACTTTAAATGCTGAAATAGATTACACGTTTTAGGGCGTAATGGCAAAATATTTGCAAACAGTGAAGACAGAATTTGTTGAAGCAAAGGACAAAACGATGATTTATCACTTCAATGCAAACTCAGTTTTACTGTTCAATGGAGTTTTGTTTTTATTTTTGTCCTTGGGAAGTCTTGGATATTGATTTTGTGCATTTTCAGGTCTTTCAAACATGATGTCAGATGGTGAATTTTTAAGAACAAGTTGTGGTTCACCCAACTATGCTGCACCAGAAGTAATTTCAGGAAGGTAGTATTTGACACCCTTTCTTCCACCCCTGTACATTTATATAATTGTCTTTTTCTCTTAGATTTTGTCTGTCTGTAATGTCATATTAAATTCTAGTGAAAGAAAGACATGTAAGGCTAATTCTTTCCTTATCCAGAAAGTGTTATGTTTTAAGAATAAAACATAAGTAAGAATTAAGGATTCCATTTATAGAAGAGAATATTGGTTTGCAAGTCAATATCATATATAAAGTAGTTAGATGAGAATACTCACTTTTTTCTCCCAGTAGAAGAAATTGAAAGTTTAAAATTAGGAAGTTTTTTTTTTTTCTTTAAAGATTTATTTATTTATTTTAGAGAGCATGTGGGTGTGTGCGTGTGAGGTTGGGGAGGGGAGAGGGAGAGAGAGTATACCAAGCAAACTCCCTGCAAAGCATGGAGTCCAATGGGGGGGCTCAGTCTCAGGACCCTGAGATCAAGACCTGAGCCAAAATCAAGAGTTTAGAGGCCCAGCCGATTGAGCCACAGGCACCCTAAGACTAGCAAGTTTTAAAGGTCAGGCATTAAAAACTTGAGTATAGAAATACCTACTAGTTGGAAATGGTTTACTTAGATGAAGAGTTAAAAGTGTGTAATGTGTACCTTTAATTTTTCAGATATGTTTATTTATTTTACAGAGAGAGAGCCTGTGAGTTGGGGGTGGGGCAGAAGGAGAGGGAGGAACTCCTCAAGCAGACCCCTTGCTGAACGCAGTGCCTGATCCCAGAACCCTGAGATCATGACCTGAGCTGAAATAAGAGTTGGATGCTGAACTGACTGAGCCACCCAGGCACCCTGATAGAAAGGCATTCTGTAGTAGCTTTATGTTTATGATAAGGTGTCTTGGGGAATTAGACTGAAGTATGATAAAATCTTCAGACTCATTTATTTTGAATTTTTCATTTTTAAATCTTCTAGAGACTACAGTATTAGAAGAATTCGAACCTCTCAATTACCAGCATTGAGAACATGAGGATCTTAGAGTATGGTTTCTATAGCCATTGCTACACACTACACATAAAGTGCAGCTTTCAAATAGCTTAGATGGCAGGAAAATTTAATTTTTTAGAGTTACTGTTCTTCACTCTCCTACTGAAATTGAAAACAGACGGTTAAGTTTGTTTACTAATTTTTGTAATCAACTTTTATTAACTTCGCACTAAAACCATGTTTCTTTGTTTGAATGTTTCACATCCTAATTCAGAATGCAGAAATACTACAATATTTTCTGTTTTCATATATGAGCTTGCTTGCCTAGTGTGCTCAGAGAAATTATATTTGGGTAAAGGCATGGCTGTGAATAAGGCAGAAGTATCTAATTTTAAATTTATCAAGGTTCATCATTATCTTTTTATATCAGCCTAATGTTCAGAAAATGTTTTTAAATTACTTCATTTGTGTCATGTAATTTGTTTTGGAAGAAAACAGTTCAAGACCTGGCGGCTGTGTTAATTAAATAAACAAAAGAAATGTATTGTAAATACGCATATATACATGGGCCATTACTGAAGTCTGCTTTTCCAGTTTGGATAAGGTCTTCCTGTGAGGTCTGGATGAGTGGGAACTTGTACTCAAAGCAGTATTTATGGATCAGTTCAACAATTTATTTGATCAATTTATAAACATCCTTTCCCCAAAACCAGACTTTGACCTGTGGTAGTTAAGTCAGTTGGCTACAGTGTATTACAAATACCAGTTTAGAATCTTCTGTGAACCAGTCACCTTGGCTTTTTTCTTCCATAGCCTCAGGCCCCTTTTGCCTTGGTAGGAGGTCTTGGGTTATTGGGAGACAGTGGGTTTAAAGAACATTCTTAATTGATTTTATAAGGACCACAGTAAGGTAGTAAGAACAGAATTTTAGCTATAGTCTAAACTTAACAAAAATTCTTGACTTGTTTTCAAAGATAATACTGATAGAATTAGTATAGAATCTTTATGTGTAGTGTGTAGTAGCAATGGCTATAGAAACCATACTCTAATAATTCTTTATGAAGTATCCATATTTAAAATTTTTGATTAATTGATTGGCTCTCAAGTTACTATGATTATTTAATCCAATTGATATTTCCTGTTACAGATTGTATGCAGGTCCAGAGGTAGATATATGGAGCAGTGGGGTTATTCTCTATGCTTTATTATGTGGAACCCTTCCATTTGATGATGATCATGTGCCAACTCTTTTTAAGAAGATATGTGATGGGATCTTCTATACCCCTCAGTATTTAAATCCGTCTGTGATTAGCCTTTTGAAACATATGCTACAGGTGGATCCCATGAAGAGGGCCACAATCAAAGATATCAGGTAATTATGCAGCTTGGAGATTATCAGATCTAATAGTTTCAATGATACAAGTTAAGTGAAGGAAACAGTTGCAGGACAGTATGTACAATGTAATGCCATTTTTATGTTAAAAAATATAGTATATAGGCACATTTATTTTATTTTGGTATTTAAAAATACACACTGAACAGGCTGCCTTAGGGAAAGAAGATTAGTAGTAGGAAGGGCTTTCAAGGCTTTTTACTTAGCATCTTTCTTTTGAAATTTTAACAGTGAATATTACATGTTTTTAAATTTGAAAAAATAGCTAATGTGAAATAAAAAGGACCCTGGTGGGATTTTACATTTGTAGTGGTTCTTCAAGATTTTCTGTAGTATGCCTCATATTTGACTTTTATGTATTCTCATTAAGATTAATGCTTTTCAATAGTAGTAAATTTGTGTCACTATTTGAGTTCTGATCTTTTGAATTACTCTGTTTTTCCTTTTGTTTATCTCAAGTAATGAGGACATTTTAACTTAACTAATGACATGTGTGGTTTTGGGGTAGTATACACTGAATCACATGTGAAATTACTGGTTTATAAGTTTCATATGGAGGGGCATGTTTATACCACCAGTGGAAAAGGACAAATCATTCTCTAAAATTTAAAATATCTAAGTGAAAGATGCTTTTTCTTGTGTTTTATCTACTTTTTGCAATTTAAATGTAATATGTGACAATTGGAATTAGAAAACACCCAAAAAATAGAAAACTAAAATGATCTTTAATTCTGTCACCCAGAAGGTAGTCATTGTTCTTTTGGGTGTTTTCCTTTCTTGATGTTTTTAGTTTTAGCTGTTTTTGACATAGTTCAGGTCAAACATACCCTTTTATATATGAAGTTAGGAAACTCTCAGTTCCTTCATTAAAAATGAGGAGATGTTATTATCTTCATAGAATTGTTTTATGAGTTGAGATAATGTATGGTAAGTATTTAGCCTAAAACCTACCACATAGTAAGCATTCAGTGAATGATACTTGTCTGTTTTTGTTGTTACGGTTTTTTCACCTAAAATTACATCAGAAGAGAATTATAATGAAGCCACGGAATATTGTTCTTTTTCATTTGTGCCAAAACTTTAAATAAAAGTGTAGACATTTCTTTTCCTGTTGGTACAGCACTGCTTTCTCCCTCTTAAAACCAGAAGGTGGTTGGAGCATTTCCTCCAGTATACACAATGAAATGTGAGCCAGAAGAGGAAAATCTCAGTTTGAAAAAATGAAAATACAATATGAATATAAATATAAATGAATTCATATCCTAAATTCCCCAAACTGTTACTTGCAGTCTCATCTCTACTCAAAATCCTCCTCCTGATCCTGCCATTTTCTCTCAGGGAACATGAATGGTTTAAACAAGACCTTCCAAAATATCTTTTTCCTGAGGATCCATCATATAGTTCAACCATGATCGATGATGAAGCCTTAAAAGAAGTATGTGAAAAATTTGAGTGCTCAGAAGAGGAGGTTCTCAGCTGCCTTTATAACAGAAATCACCAGGACCCTTTGGCAGTTGCCTACCACCTCATAATAGATAACAGGAGAATAATGAATGAGGCCAAAGATTTTTACTTGGCGACAAGCCCACCTGATTCTTTTCTCGATGATCACCATTTGACTCGGCCCCATCCTGAAAGAGTACCATTCTTGGTTGCTGAAACACCAAGGGCACGCCATACCCTCGATGAATTAAATCCACAGAAATCCAAACACCAAGGTGTAAGGAAAGCAAAATGGCATTTGGGAATTAGAAGTCAAAGTCGACCGAATGATATCATGGCAGAAGTTTGTAGAGCAATTAAACAGCTGGATTATGAATGGAAGGTAAGAAAGAAAGGGCATTCTGATTTTAAGCACATTTGGCAAACTTGTAGTCTATAAAATTTTTTCTGGAAGAATTGCTTTTGATTTTGTTTTTGTCCATACCATATACTAGGTTGTAAACCCCTATTATTTGCGTGTTCGAAGGAAGAATCCTGTGACGAGTACATACTCCAAAATGAGTCTACAGTTATACCAAGTGGATAGTAGAACGTACTTACTGGATTTCCGTAGTATTGATGGTATGTACATCCCACAAAACAACATAGTTGACATACTAGACTTGTTACCTAACTGGGCTTTTTAGTCTTTGATTCTTTTGAAGTTTCTTGAATTCTTCCTAGTAATTCAGTAGCAAGAGTATAAAATGTGATTTTGTGCCTCTGTGATGTAAACATTTGTGAATCGTGTTTTTCTTGTAATCTTACTGTGTATTGTCCTTTTAAGATTGTCTTAAGGCCAGGTGTAGTCTGATCCTAAAGTGATAGTTTCTGCCACATTTCTGTTTTTTGGTGTGGTTCATTTTGATAAGATAAAATGTTTTATTTGGAAATAAATGTTGACTAGTGTTTTTTTATATCTGATATTTAATATTTTTATTTTTCATTTAAGAATTGAAGTGCAAGTAGCTTTTAGAGTTGATTGATAAGGCAATGTGAACAAATTTGATTAGTAGCTCATAGGACAAGAAATTATTTGTCGAGTAAGGTTTCTTAGAGGGGACTGAGAGAGAAATGTTTTGGACAGGTTAGGGACTTACGGTTATTTTTCTCCTCTCACCCAGCCTTTTACTCCCAGCCTGACACTAGAGACATATCAGAGATATGCATCCTTTATTAAGTTTTGTGAGAGTTAACATGATTCCAATTTTATCTATCTCTCAATAAAGTGTTCTTAAATAATCACTTATTTTTTTAAAGATTTTGTTTATTTATTTGACACACAGAGAGAGAGAGCACAAGCAGGGGGAGTGGCAGGCAGAGAAAGAGGGAGAAAGCAGACTCCCTGCTGAGCAAGGATCCCAATGTGGGGCTTGATTCCAGAATCCTGGGATCATGACCTGAGCTGAAGGCAGACACTTAACTGACTGAGCCACCCAGGCACCCAATAATAGATCACTTTTATATGAAGGCACTATATGAGGATTCCTGAGACTAAGGCATCTTACGTTCAAGATAACTGTCATAATTAGTTAAAAGTGACATTGTTAACCTTAATTTTAGACTGTTGTGCATTTCTATTTACCTACAGTCATAAACAGAGACAATCCGATGATTAAATCACTGAAATATTCAAACTTTTAGTTGGCTATTTTAATTGGTCATCAAAACGATGACCTTACTGCAGCATAAAATCTTTAAAGTACCTCCTTGAATTTTTTTAAAGAAATGTTAAATATTGTTTTACTGTTTTAATATTTTGAAAATGAAAACCTGTATTTGGAAAATGTCTTTGATTACCATTATGTATAGTTTGCTAGAATATCTTAACTATTTAGACTGATTAAGTTGAGGTAAATTATTAGCTGCAGAAAGTAGACATTTTTGTTCTTGTTTTTATTTTTAAATGGGAAGAATATCTTATATCTCAGTGTATGTATATGAGTAGACTATAATAGACTTTTAGTAAATGGTGTGATACCAAACATGGTTTGAAATTAATTTTTTAAAAAGAAATTATTTATTTAGGGGTGCCTGGGGGGCTCAGTCGGTTAAGCGTCTGCCTTTGGCTCAGGTAATGATCTCAGGGTCCTGGGAAACAGTCCTGCATCGGGCTCCCTGCTGAGCGGGCAGTCTGCTTCTCCCTCTCCCTCTGCTACTCCCCCTGCTCATGCTCTCTCACGTCCTCTCTCTCAAATAAATAAATCTTTTAAAAGAGATTTTATTTATTTATTTGAGAGTGAGAGAGAGTTGAGAGGGAAAGGGGCAGAGGGAGAGAGAGAATCCTAAGCAGATTCCCCACGGAGCATGGAGCCCTGTGCGGGGTTCAGTCCCACGACCCTGAGATAATGACCTGAGCCAAAATCAAGAGTTGGACATTTAACCGACTGAGCTACCCAGGCACCCCTGAAATTTATATTAATTCAGATTTCCCATGGGAATACCCTCTTAAAAACTAATTTATGTTATCTATTAAAAAGCTTGATGGAACACAGGTGATTTATAATTCAGGTAAATACTCTTTCTATCCCAGCATTATAAAAGAGTATAACTGTATATATAAATGTTCTCTCATAAGCCGAGCCTTTATTTAAGTACAAGTTTATGGCAGTTCTTCATTGGCCAAATCAGTTAAGATATATTACCACTTCTGGTCATCTAAGATTGTATGGAACTATTAGATGAGATTTACCTATGAATTTTTTGTCTTCTTTATAAACCAAAGGATAGTACCTTCCAAGTATCAGAAAGACACAGATCTGAGTGGTGATATACTGGCTAGAGCTGTTTGTCTGCTTATCTGTCTGTCCAGATGCTGTTTATCTGCTAACACTCATCTAGTCTGATATGGAATGGATTTTGTATTTCTCATTGTATTTGGATCAAATTTATAACCATGGGTTTATTAGCCCCTGGGTTTGCCAGTTGAATGAGCATTTGCTGTTTTGTTTTGTTTTAAAGATTTTATTTATTTATTTGACAAAGATTTTATTTATTTATTTATTTGACACAGAGAGAGCGAGCACAAGCAGGGAGCGGCAGGCAGAGGGAGAGGGAGAAGCAGGCTCCCTGCTGAGCAGGGAGCCCGATGCGGGGCTCTATCCCAGGACTCTGGGATCATTACCTGAGCTGAAGGCAGATGCTTAACTGACAGAGCACCCCGAGCATTTACTGTTTTTGTACTCTGTTCCCAACTTTAGGCTTTCCTTGATTTCTGTTTATTGGAATCGTTGCTCTTTTATGAGATCTTACATATGAAGAGAAAGTGGGAGAGTAAAAACTACTGAAATGATAGGAGATGCAGGTTCTAGATTTACCTCTCTGTTCACTTATTACCTATGGCAAGTCACTTCACTTTCTGGGGTTGTTTTTTTTTTATCAGTAGAACAAAGAGTTGGATGAGGTGATTTCCAGTATTATTTCCAAATTTTAAGTGCATTTATTCTATGATTTTAATACAGAGGGATTAATTTTTATCGCTAGGGAAGGATGTTTATTGAGCCCCATGTTATTAGTTTTTTGGGCTCTTAACTTTGGATTGCAAGACTGATGAGTAACTGTGTACTGTACCCAATCTTGATTAGCCATCAGGAGAATACATACTGTAAGGAAAAAAGGCAAATGGTTTAACACAGACTCATCACCTCTATTTTAGCAAGTATTCAGCATAAACATGGTCTTGATAGCTGGTCAGCGGTTTCAAAGAAGCAAATTAAATACTATTAAACTTTTGGGGGGGTGTCATGGATTATAATACATTGAAATTTTTTTCTACAGATGAAATTACTGAAGCCAAATCAGGGACTGCTACTCCACAGAGATCGGGATCAGTTAGCAACTATCGATCTTGCCAAAGGAATGATTCAGATGCTGAGGCTCAAGGAAAATCCTCAGAAGCTTCTCTTACCTCATCTGTGACCTCACTTGACTCTTCTCCTGTTGACTTAACTCCAAGACCTGGAAGTCACACTATAGAATTTTTTGAGATGTGTGCAAATCTAATTAAAATTCTTGCACAGTAAACCTAAAATTTTGCTTATTTGATAGCAATAAGCATGCATAATAAATCATAGCCAAATGCTTCCATTTATAATCAAGTTATACATAATTATAACTAAGGATTGGCCTTTTGGAATGCAGTTTGCACAGGAATTGGAATATGATTAATAGTTAAAAGCCTAATGTGCAAAAATGAATTAAGATAATTTTGTTGTTCATTGTTCAGTAGGCGTATAGCATAATGTAATATTCACAATGAATTATAGGTCTCTCAGGCTCACTTGATATTTGGCTATTTTATATTTAGTGTACACAGGGCTTTGTAGAATATTATTTTACCATAAAGGCCTTCATGTATTATTACATGTTGATGTGTTACATAACTGCTTCACAAATTTATTCAATAAATATTTGCCTAGAATCCCCAGAGACCTTTATAGGTGATTTTATTTTGGGGGCTCCTTATCTTCTTAAATAGCAAGTATCTTCCAACAGTAGTGACAGTCTGGATGACTCTTCCATGTCTCTTCCCTTAATATTCTTTAGTATCTGGTAAGCACATCAAAGATATTAGACATAATTAAAATTTTCTCTTTAGCTTGGTAATCCAAAAACGCACAGAACTTAAATATTCAGATACTCTAGGCACTAAGGTAAATCTTACAATTTGTCTCACTATATTCTGTACATAAATTTCTCTTTTTGTCACAAGAGCTGAGTTGCATATACTATAAATAAATGATGTTTTCGTCAATCTCACAAATTTCGCTGCTCATGTCAGTCAGTATTGAATGTATATAAAAAATTTCTAGCTATTCAATTATGTATCTTTTAAATTGACTTAGCACACAGAACATTTATTACAAAGTGTTTAAATGCTCAGATAAGACTTTTTCTCCCAAATTTTATCACGAACATTTTTAAAAACAGAAAAATTGAAAGGCTGTTGGGTGATCACATGTGTATCTACCACTTAGATTCCACACTGGTCAACATTTTGCCATGTTTGGTTTATATCTATATATGTATATAGATATAGTTGTGTAATATATGTGTGTATGTGTATATATATATATATATATGTGTGTGTATATATATATGCTTTTCCCCCCTGAACCATTTGGATGTTGCTGACATAATCACTCTCAACACTTCAAGCATCTAAAAATAATGACATTTTCCTAAAAAACTATAATGCTCCTATAAAATTGGTAATTCCCTAATGTCATCTAATCATGCATATTTAGATTTCCCCAGTTGTCCTCCAAATTTCGTACACAGCTCATTATTTCAAACCAGGATTCAGTGAAAGTTTACACATTGCATTTGGTTATGTCTCCTTAGTCAGATACGACATTATTATTTCAGTAAAATATGGAACAGATCAGTTAGTTCTAAATAGTCACATATGTTTTGGATTTTAATCACTTTTTAAAAAGTAGCATTATGGGAACTACCTAAAGATGCTTAATTTTTGTAAGATCTCTATATTTTCTTTTCCATGCTCTTTCCTTTTTCCTAGTAGCATTCTGTAGTAGTTGTAAATGAAAATTTAAAGTCACCTCAGTTAAAATTGGTGTCATGTGTATGCTAATAAAAAATAAAAAATACTATATCACCCATAATTGCCTTATACTATTTTAACATCAAGGTATTGATTTTTTTTTGTATCAATCATTTTTCCATTGCAAAAGAGCTATCTTATTTCTCATTTCATACCTTTGTATTATAGGACTGTTTTTGGCAAATAACAGTGAGCACCTATGTAACCAGGCAGTAATGTACTCAAGTGTCTTAATAGCTTGCATAGTTAACTGTAGTTGTAGATTTGGTTCCAGCACCCCTAGAAACATGCACTGAATTCAAAAGAAAAATCTTGCTTCTTTTTGTCCAGGGCTTGTCTATTCAACTTAGAATCTGAAAGCTGTATAAAATAATAGGAATTCAACTTAAATAAGTTCAAAACTGTATTTATAACTTGTATGTGGCCCTGTGTTTTAGGGATATTGATTTAATGTAGGGTCTATAAATGCAGCATTATGTTTCTGATGTTAAGAACAGAAGACTGTATTTTTAAAGTTACAGATTTGTATATAGAACTAAGACATCTTCATAATGTCTCTATAAGCTGTTGTGGGGGGTGGGGAGAACAAAAGGAGGAACCAATTAAATAGGACCTTCTAAAAATTGTTAATTTTGTAAACTTTGCTTCTTATTAAGTTATTGTGATTCCTTTTAGTTACTGAATTTTATTTTGAAGATATTTAAATATTGCACTTGTACAAATAGTATGATAAATGCACAGATTGCAGTAAATTCTTTTTTAAGCTGGGATATTTGAAATGACAACTTTTGGTTGAATATGTCAAGGTTGCATCAGAATTTTCAAAAAAATTTGTAGTTTGCAAATTCTTACTAACTGAAGATATAGGGAGTCAATGCAAATGATTTTTAATCTTTTTTTATTATCTTTTCAGCAATTTATATTTTTTGTGATTTTATGCAACCATATTTTTACTTTGTCTTGACAACTGAAAGATGTATAAGGTTTTTGCCAGAAATGTACTGTATACATAGTTTTAAATATAACAGATTTTACTGATATGTAAAAATTTTGCCATTAAATGATTTCTCACCGAGAGGAACTTTTCTACCAGGTTGGGGGGATATGGGAGCTTAATATATCTAATTTAATTTCACTGAAATAAACTCCATTGCTTTTACTTTGGTTATATTTTCTCTTGAGATGCTTTTGTAGTTTTTCAGTTTTAAATGATTTTATACTTAAAAAGTCCTGTGCTCTCACTCTCCACCCCCACCCACCGCCCCCCGCTTTTTGACCTTGCAGCGCTACCACTCACACTGAATGAATGCTTGGTGGACTATGGCTGGATGGCGAGCTCTGGGCATCTCTGCTCCGCCTGGCACCCTCCGAATGAAAGACACACGTATGTTGTTTAAATCTTTCCCCCTAACTCTTGTTCATCTTCTCCACGCACAGCAGAAATCTCATTTTCATTGTGAATTCTCCTGACAAGATGATTGAAGTTCCACATAGAACATAACCATCAATTGGTAATAGGGTGAAATCAATCTTTGTAGTATAGTATCTCCGAGATGTGTTCATGTATGTTTTGACTGGGGTATATTTAAGCATATAATTTAAAATACTTTGATTTAGAAAACGGATGATAAAAACATTTTTCATGTTACATTGTGCTTAAATTTTTTAACTTATGGGAAAGCTAAAAAAAACCCACTTGTTCATAGCTGACCACCTGTGCACCTTTTTGACAATGTGTCTAAATATAAAATGTCATGCTTAGACACACCTTAGCACTCAAACATTGTGATTTTTGTCTCGACTAAATTACTGATCTTTGATTGCATCTAAAAACTAACCACCTGAACAATATATTAAGATAAATACAATAAAAGCCAAAGTGGTTACCAGTTTTCCTTATTAACATTGGATTTGGTTAGAATTCTACTATTGTTAGAATTCAACTATGATGAACTCTTATATCCCATATGGCATCGTTAGGGCTTGATTGGGCTAGATTGTTGGCATTCTAAATCTTTAAAATAGTTTGACAATTGTAACAAAACAGTACTAAAGAATGTTATGAACAGCACATAGGATTGTTCTTTAGTGAATTTATAAATTGCTACAGATATTTATTTACCCTGACTGTATAAAATTGTACAATAAATTCTCTTGTTTGAAAAATCAATATTTATTGAACTGTTCTATTGTAGACAAATAGACTGTTCTATTTATTGTGAATGCCAGTAAACGTTAACTATGATAAACTTAGAGGATTTCTAGCAACTTGGAAGATGATCATATTGTCTCTAAACAGCATGAGAAATGTATTAAATATATTAATAGGTACCTCAAGTTCATAGGCTAAAGTAAGTGGTGGGTGAAGTGTGAAAACTCGGGTTTGGAGGTAGCCTTTACCAGAGGAAAATTATTTGAGAGTTTTAGGAAAGACCCCTAGAAAGGGGTACATCTTCAAGCACCACTTATTCACTCTGCAAACTGTATCCCTTCATAGCTACTATGAACCAAGCACTAAGAATGTGACCATTAGGCATAAATCCTGCTCTGAGTGTCTTGTCAGGGAGATACATGTTTTTTTAAAGGCTTATAGAAGTATATAACATAGAAAAGTGCACAAATCCTAAATATTTGGCTTGATGAATTTTCAGTGTTTTAGGTTTGCAGTGAACATGGCCGTGTCAGCTTCTCCCCATATTAAGAAACATGCCACTGCCTTTGTGTCTTTTATAATTAATATCAGAAGTTATATACTTCTATATGATACATTTTTTTTTAAAAGATTTTATTTATTTATTTGAGAGAGAGACTGAGAGAGCGAGCACATGAGAGGGGGGAGGGTCGGGAGGGTCAGAGGAAGAAGCAGACTCCCTGCCGAGCAGGGAGCCCGATGCCGGACTCGATCCCAGGACTCCAGGATCATGACCTGAGCCGAAGGCAGTCACTCAACCAACTGAGCCACCCAGGCGCCCTATATGATACATTTCTATATGACAGTATATTATTGGCAACACCGTAAATTGTTTCTCTTGAAATTAACAGACTCCATTTGTTTATTTTCATGGTAAGGCACGTCACAAACCCAAGCCTGAATAACCAGAGGGACTGCTCATGCTGTTTTTCTCAATAAGAGTTGTATTCCACAAAAAAGTATGTACTTCAGTTTATAATGCAATCTCACAAGTGCTTTTACTTGAGACCTCATACTCCAATATACAGGAGAAGTACTTTATGAGTATTAAGGGTCATTTAATAAAATAAGTTTTACTGCTTCATGAAGGACATTCTTGAGTGTATTATGTATGTATGTATGTATGTACTATGAGTGTGGTGGAGAAGAATACAAGGACAACTAGCAGAGTGTGGTATCACTGCCTTGATTCCAGCTGAGCTGCCATCAGTCTTACCCATCACTGCTTTCCCATTATCAGTGCAATGTCAACATTGTGAAAAAGGCAAATGATGTCTTCCTGTGACTCGAAAATAGTTTGAAAAGGTCTTGGCAACCCTCAGGGATCTGAGGATCACCTTGGAGCATCATTGTTCCACAACAGCGGTTCTCAGTGGGGCAGGGGTGGGGAACGATTTTTCTTCCAGGGACATTTGGCAATGACTGGAGACAATTTCGGTTGTCACAACTGGTGGTAGTGGGTGGGAGTGGATGCTAATGGCATCTAGTGGGTAGATCCAAGGATGCTGCTGAATATCCTACCCCGCACAGAAAAGCCTCCCTTTCCCCAACAAAGAGGATACGGTTTGAAATATAATGCTGAGGTTGAGAAAGCCTGGTCTACAAAAATGATACTCGCACAAGATAGCTATATCAATAAATTGACAATCTTAATTTTTCAATTTCCTAAACAGTTCTCCGTGTTACATTGCCCCACTTAATTATTGTCAAGACATAAACCACAGCTACTTTCAAGTTATAATTCTTTTGGGCCCAACTTACTTGTTTTTTTCCAACTGAAGCCTACAGTTGAACCACGGGCCCCCCTGATCTGCTCCCCTGGTCCCCTTTCCCATGGACTTTTTCTTCTGTCCTTTGTGTCTGGCCGGTCTCTTTGCTAGGCTGTAAAGTCCTTTAGGGCAGGGTCCTATCGTAATGCCATGAACTACCCCCAAATCCCCCAGCCTCATCTGTTTCACCCGCCGACCGAAAGGGGCGTGCAGTCTGGCCCGAGCTGCCTCTCTCTGCGCGCACCTCAACGTGCGCAGCCGCAGTTTCCCGCGCTCACGCACTGCGGTCACCCGTGCGCCAGATGCTCCCGGCTGCTACTAGAGGGCGCTCCGGCCCCGGGTGGCTCAAACTACAAATCCCAGAGGGTAATGGGGTGGGGACGGCCGCAGTGACTTCTGGGATTTGTGGTCCCGAGAAAGGGATTGGCAACCACAAGGGCTCTGAGAGTCGCCTCTTCCTTGCCCTTCTCTCTGCATGGGTCCGACGGCCCGGGTCGGCCAGGCCAATTTCTTGGGAGACCTGGCACCAAAGGCAGGCTGGTAGGCCGTCGGGCATGTTAGCTTCCGTTTCCGGTGGGAAAAGGGCAAGCACAATGTAAACACGGGACCAGGGGAGTGGTCATCAGGTAACTGGGGTTTACGCTGACCGTGGTGGAAGCCGGAGGAAGTGGAGGAAAATAAGGCTGGTGGGTCTTGTGATTAGGGGAGAAAGGACCTTCAGACGTCGGAGTTGACACCCAACAGGGGTGTGGCAGAGCCGGGACACTAAGGTTGGTCTCTAGAGAGGAGCAGTTCTAGGGGGTCGGGCCCTCCGTTACGCCCGCGTCAGGAGCGGCTTCCGCGTTTCCACGGCGGCCGGTGCGGCTTTGACCTTCCCTTAGCGGTGGGAGGAGCGGCGCCGAGCTTGCTTCACACCCCGCGATGGGGGTGTCTGCAGTTGAGGACGGCCTGGTGAACTCGCGGGTGACGTCCAGTGCAGCCTTTATGAACTTCGCACGGGGAACTTGCTAATACAGGTTTCTCTCTTGCGGGGACATTTTTGGGTAAATTGCTTCTTGAATTTCTTACCTCTGAGTACATCCCGGTACCCGAAGGATGCTGTTTCGATTTCCTAATGGTGTTCATCTGGTGGTTTCTCACCTTGGGTGCTGCATCCTCCGATGCAGTGAGGACAGGCATTCTCGGCTTGTGGCTGGGTGAACTGTCCAGCCTTCCACAGTAACTGAATGCATACTGTAAGGATCATTGTACCAGCAGAAGAATTTAGAACACAACTTTGTTGTTTAGAGTTTTCATGGTGTTCATTAACTATAAGTCTGTATAAATTGAATTTGTGTTGTTTCATGAGGTTAACGTGAAACCTATATGATTATGATTTACCCATATGACTTCTTATCCAGGGGAAAACACCTCAAGGCTAGGATGTTGGCGCCTTGTGCATCTAATTATAGATTGAGGAAAGCCTTATTTATAAAAAGTCAGATAACCTTAGAGGAACAATAAACTAGTACTAATAAAGATACTTGAATCAACTCTGAGTGTTAAGTTTTTCAGGCTAGAAACTGTTTTGCATATATCCTAGGACTCACCCTCCTTTGAAGGCTGGCTAACTTTTACTTTTCAAGATTTATCAGGCTCCCCTCCAAGAAGCCTCAAGTGTCTCCACTGAAGTCATAGTATCCTTTGTTTACTCTCTAATAGCACTTATTCTGGAGTGTATTGACTATGCTCTTGTGATCTCCAGACAGTTTTGAAGAAAATACAAAGCTGTGCTAATGGCCTTGGTCACAGATTCATGCTTTTTAACCTGGTAAAAAGGTTGATACTGTTTTCTATCTTTATTCATCCCTTATTGTTGCTTTTCCTATTTTCCCATTCTCTATAATGACTATTTTGGAACTTTTCTATTCTTCTCAAGTACTCAAATCTATTTTTCCCTTTACTTGGAGCAGATGACTAGCTGCCTATTTCTTTGGGAAATGTGAAGCTTAGGGGTAGGAAATCCTTCATTGTCTTTTCCACCTATCCCTGAACTTGCCTGTACTTTTCACTCAGTATTATCTCTTGTCTGAGAGGAATGTATTCTTGCTCTCTTCAAGGCTAAACTTGTCAATTACTAGTGGACATTAGGCCTTTTATATCCCTGTAATGTCATTCTCTCCTCACATCCACAGCCTCTGATCTCTAGAAGAGCTTAACGGATTTGTGGAGGAAGATGGCAGAAACACCTGAGGCACTGTTGTGTGTGACTTTTTCATACATGGTAGAGAACCACCATCTGGGGTCTTTGACATTTAGAACAATGGTTTGGGTTGGAGGATGGGGGAGGGTAATGGGAGTCTGATTACCTATTAATTTTTTAAAAAAATGTATGTGGGTCTCTGTTCCTTTTTCCTTTCCTCTCCACCTTAACCGCTGCTCCCAATAATATAGACCTGACCAATGATTTCTAATGTAATTTGCCTTTAGTAAATACACCAGGTTTTCATCTGTTAACAGGGTTCTCATACTACCTGGTTCCTCACATTGCTGATTTAGAAACAAAGTTCCATTTGGAAACTTGAAGCCAGAAAATGTAATCATCCTCCTTCTTGTCATAGGGACAGTCATAAACACAAGAGTTCTTATCTAGATATCCTGATATCCTATGAGACCTTCCTAATGATTTATTCTCTTACATTGTCTTCTCTCTGTTCCATAGTAATCACACTTCATTTTGAGCCATTTCTTGGTTCTTCCCCTAAGTTACTTACAGTCCCCTTCAAACATAGAAAACTCATTCTTCTATATTATAACAGGTCTGGGGAGAGAGTTTGGCATTGTCCTAATTCCCTAGTATAGCTTATAATACCTTACTCCCCTGGGCTTCTTGAACAATCCCTGTTCCAGTGGAGAGCATGTGGTTCACCCGAATCTGCCTGTGCGTTTCTTGATGGCTACAATTTATTGAAACTTCCTTGAATTCATTAGGAATGTAGGCACATGACCTGTAATTTTCTTACCCCTCTAAGTTCTTTTTTTTTAAGATTTTATTTATTTATTTGACAGAGTGAGAGAGGGAACACAAGCAGGAGGAGTGGGAGACCTACTGAGCAGGGAGCCCGATGTGGGACTTGATCCTGGGACCCTAGCATCATGACCTGAGCCGAAGGCAGACGCTTAACGACTGAGCCACCCAGGCACCCCACCCCTCCAAGTTCTGCCATTATCTTGGGCCTTTTCATGTGAATAACTTAATAGTCCCTTTTACTTTTTTGTCCCCTTCCTTCTGTTGATTACTTATATTTTATTTCAGCCATGTACATCAGTAATCTTGGATCCCTCAATAAGTCCCTTCTCTAAATAAATACTTGTTGAATGCTTCTATGTTTTTTTTAAATTTTGTTTCATCAATTGTCCTTTCTTTCTTATCCTTTACATTGTGTATCATTGCTGCTTTACAAAACAGTTTAACATTTGTTATCTTCTAGATTCACCCAGTAGTTCTGTGAATTAAGTTATTTATCAAGTTTGACTCTTTTAAAAACTTCTTTATTGTGGAAAATTTCAAATGTTTACAAGAAAGGAAAGTACAAGAAATCCTGTGTACGTATCAACTAACTTTATCGATTATCAACCAGAGCTATCTTTTCATCTGTATTTCTCCTCTGTTGCCCCCCCCACCCCTGGTGATCACTTTGAAACAATTTATAGATATCATTTAATCTCATATGAAATATTTTAGTATATATTCCTAAAAGATAAGCATTCTTTTAATAAACATAATTATAATGGTATTATCATACCTTAAACAATAGTGATAATTCCTTGATATCATTAAATATCAGTGTTCTGATTTTCCCTAATATTTCATAACTATTTCCTCCCCATTGGCGTGTTTGAATCCAGAGCTAAACAAGATGCACACGTTATATTTGGTTAGTATGTCTCTGGAGTCTCTTTTTATCTCCATCTTTTTCTCTTTTTTCCCCTGGAAGGTTATTTCTTGAAGAAACCAGTTTTATTTTTCTTTAGTTTTTGTTATTTGCTCTCTTCATCTCTGACATGTTATCTAGCATGCTCATCTATATCACAGGTTTCTTATAAACTGTAAAGTTTGGTAGGCTTGATCTGATTCAGGATTAATTTTTGACTTCATATAGGTCAGAAGTTTTTGACCTTCATAGGTACTTCATAGGTGGAATGGCCCTTCCACCAGGAGATACTTACTGTCCAGTTGGCTTTCTTTATGATGTTAGCACCCTTTGTTGGTTATTGCTTTGATCCACTATTTAATTAGGAGTTTAAAAAGTGGTGACAGTCTGATTCTGTTATCCCTTCTTCACCTGTTATTTGGGGAACTTATATAAAAGGCCAACTTTGAATTTTAAAGCTGTTTCTTTGTAATTTCCCAGAATGGCTTCCTTTGGATGGAAGAGGAAAATTGGCGAGAAGGTCTCAAAGGTCACTTCCCAGCAGTTTGAAGCTGAAGCTGCCGATGAGAAGGATGTAGTTGAGAATGAAGAAGGGAACTGGCTTCATGCCATTAAACGTAGGAAAGAAATTCTCTTTGAGGGCTGTGCTGAGAAAAGTAAGCAGCTGAAGGATGAAGGAGCCAGTTTGGCTGAAAATAAAAGGTATGTTTTTAGAGTTTTCTTATAGAGAACAGTTTACATTTCTGTCAGTAATGAGATGAAGAGTTATGAATTCTATAAATTCATGTTTTAAAAATCTGATCTAGGTGCTAAATTAATCAAATAAGTAAGGAGTTTTAAAGACCTTTAAACAGTCCCATGAAGTCTGAAAGTTTGTGGAAGAGTCTTTAAGATTCTTGGAGTGTCTGCTTTGCCATCATTTTTGTTCTGTCTGAAGAAGGGTAAATGCTAAGTAAAATGTAATCCAAGTTCTTGGTTGGTAGGAAATAGTTTAATTTCTGGAAACTTCCTCCTTGTGTTATTATATACCAGACAAATTAGGTGTTTCCTGAAGGGCTTTGAGGGCATGTGCTTTTTTTTTTTTTTTAAAGGTGTTCAGTTATCCTTTTCCATTGGCTTTTATATACTTCCATAAATATGGTTGGTGCACAGGAATTTGACAACAGTTTCATTTATCCTCAGGCCTTCCTCAGCTAACCTCTTATACTTCTCCTATTCACCCTTTACCCTTTTCTTTTCTTTTTTTTTTTTTTAAAGATTTTATTTATTCGTCAGAGAGAGAGAGAGCAAGCACAAGTAGCGGGAGTGGCAGGCAGAGGGAGAAGCAGGCTTCCCGTGGAGCAGGGAGCCCGATGTGGGGCTCGATCCCAGAACCCTGGGATCATGACCTGAGCCGAAGGCAGATGCTTAACGACTGAGCCACGCAGGGCCCCTCCCTTTACCCTTTTCTGTTTTCCTTTTTTTTTTTTTCCCTACTTTCTTGTTCCTTTTCTCCTGTCTCTGATTAGGTCTTTCAGTGGGACCAAAAATCATTCTTTCACAAATCAGTGGGGACTGGACCCATTGATTAGTAGATTCTATAGAGAAAGCTGGAATTCTCTACAGAGGAAAAGAAAATGATCTGTATCTAAAAGCACATACAAAGATGGACTCTAGAGAGCTAAAAAAAAATCTCAGTGTGAAATGTAAAACTACACAGTTAATGAAAGAAAATATGGAAGGGTATCTTTATAACATAGAGGTGGAGAAGGACATTTTTATTTTTAAAAATTTCAAATCTATGTTAGAGTTGAAATAATAGTTCAATCCCTGTGTTCCTGCTAGCTAGATAAAAAATTCCAATAATTGCTTTATTTATCTATTTCTATACATACATATACATACACTGACATGTAATTATAAATTTACAGTTTTTTTTTTGTGATCTGTTTGAAAGTAAGTTGTAGACGTAATGACACCTCTCTCCTAATTTAGCGTGCTTTTTATAAGAATAAGGATATTTTGGAGTACCTAGCTAGCTCAGTCAGTGAAGCGTGTAGCTCCTGATCTCTAGGTCGTGAGTTCGAGCCCCATGTTGGGCATGGAGCCTACTTAAAAAAAAAAGAATAAGGATATTCTCTTACTAAAGACCATAACTGTCAAATCTGTGAACATTAACAATTCTGTAAACTAATATGCAGTCCATATTTAGATTTTTCTAATTTTCTTTCTTTCTTTTTTTTTTTTTTAAAGATTTTATTTATTTGACAGAGTGAGAGAGTACAAGCAGGGGGAGCAGTAGAAGGAGAGGGAGAAGCAGGCTTCCCGCCGAGCAAGGAGCCCGATGCGGGACTCGATCCCAGGACCCTGGGATCATGACCTGAGCTGAAGGCAGATGCTTAACGACTGAGCCACCCAGGCGCCCCACGATTTTTCTAATTTTCATTGAAATGCCTTTTACAGTTTTGGTTTTTTTTTTTCAACCAGGATCCAATCAGAGTTCATACATTCCATATTTTTGTTATATCTCTTTAGTGTTTACTTAGGTCCCCTACTTTATCCCCCATGATACTGACCTTTTTGAAGAGTCTAGACCAATTTTCTATTTGATTGTTCCCATATGGATGTCATTTAATTTGTTCCTCTATCTCATGTGTTTCTTATAAACCGAGGTGTGGAGATTTGATTTAGATTCTGATTGACTTTTTGGCAAGAGTACTTAATAGTCAGGTTTGTACTTTCTACTGTATCATAGTAGGAGAGGAATAATATCAGGTTGTCATCAATGCAGCCATTTGAAAGACATTATGCCTGTGTCAGTCTGTTTGCTGTGTTTAGTATCGCTGAAAGTCATATTTTAATAAAAATCTTGAAACATTGGGGTGCCTGGGTGGCTCAGTCAGTTAAGTGTCTGCCTTCGGCTCAGGTCATGATCTCAGGGTCTTGGGATCGAGTCCCGCATCGGGCTCCCTGCTCAGCAGGGAGTCTGCTTCTTCCTCTCTCCACTCGTGCACGCTCTCTCTCTGTATCTCTCAAATAAATAAATAAAATGTTTTTAAAAATATTTTTTTTATCCTTAGTGAAGGAAATATACTGTATCTTTCAAATAAATAAATAAAATATTTAAAAAATATATTTTTTTATCCTTGGTGAAGGAAATATAGTAAGAGAATTACACTAATCAACATAAGGAGTGTTGTTTTATTTGCATTGAGGATATGATTTTGAGAAAATATATGTATGGCAGCAGGAGTAGTATCTGAATAGGTCAGTGTTTAGGACAATACTCTTCAGATCATCTAAAGATCTAAAATCAGGCCTGTGTGCCTTTGACTGGTATCTTCCATGTGGTAATGAGAAATTTGAGAAATTAAAAATAGTACTGAACAAAAGGCAGTTTTTTTCTTTGTTCTTTTTTCTTCCTCCCTAATTAAAATTGGTGAGGGTGGGTATAAGATTCCTTGTTAGTCATTTTTGTCATGAATGAGTCAAAGTTGAAGAAGCAACATTTTAGTTTCTAGATCTGTTTTTATTTTTGATTCTTGGAGTAATCTTTTATTAATGTATTTTAATATAAAACATCAAATGGTGCCTAAACTATAATATATTAGCACCTCAAATTGAAAATGAATGATGGAAAATAAATAACAATCAAGGACAATTAACATGTTACATTATATTCTGAATTCTATTTATGGTATTTTAGGCATAAAAAGTTTTCTTCTGTAGAACTTTGCAAAATTGACCGTTCTGTCTTATTCAGAAGAAAACCCACTGTAAATTTTCCACATTCAGGAAATCGTTTTTAGAACATCGATGAAACATCTTTAGAAATTCCTGTAAATGCCTGTTAAAAGCTCATTGACTTTGTTTTTGCCCTTTTCTCTAGACCACACTAGTGAGCAGGAGGGAAAAGCTATTCAGTTATTGCCATGGGAGTCCCTCTGAATTTCCTGTGGTACAAGGGAGATAGTAACTCTGTAGATAAACAAAATGACTCTTGTTTTCTGCCTGCATGCCAAAACATTGAGTCATTTCACCAAAATCAGCTGGGTTGGATGCTTTATTTTGAATGAAGAACACTGTGAAATGATTGAGTTTTTTTTGCTGGTTAGCATTTGTTTTGGAGTAATATATACACAGCTTTAGAAGATAACTAAACAGAATAAAAGGAATCTAGTGGGATTGAACAGTTTGGCAACTCTGTGCCAAAACTAAATAGAAATAATAGTTTAAAAAGACCTAATATTAAACTTAATATGAGGAGTAAAACATAATATAAGGAGGAATAGTGAAGCTAAATTAAAAAAAAGAAACACTTCAAAACCTCAGTGCCTGTCTTCTGAATCAACTTCATTTTTTTTTTTTTTAATTTATTTATTTGACAGAGAGAGAGATAGCGACAGTAGGAACACAAGCAGGGGGAGCGGGAGAGGGAGAAGCAGGCTTCCCGCGGAGCAGGGAGCCCGATGCGGGGCTCGATCCCAGGACCCTGGGATCATAACAACTGAGCCACCCAGACACCCCATGAATCAACTTCATCTTTAAGCATCCTCATTATCACTACATTTTAGCCACACTGGCCTTCCTTGTGTTTTTGAACACAGTTTTTATACAACTTTGTCCTATGATGCTCTGTCTGAAAAGCTCTTATCTTCTGTTTTCTGATGTCTCTCTTCTTGTCCTTCTTATCTCTACTCACATGTGGTCATCTCCGTGAGTCCCTCTCTGAGCATCCAGTCGAAGGTAGTGCCCCCAAATTAGAACAGTTTGTGGCACCTATCAGACCCTCAAATGAAGCTGTAAACGTAATGAAATTCCGATCAAAATCCCAGCAGGCTTGATTTTGTAGTAATTGACAAGCTTATTCTAAAATTCATATGGAAATGCAAAGAATCTAGACTGGCTAAAACAAATTTATGGACCAAAAAATATGTAGAGAACTTACACTTCTTTATTGCATCAGCACATTCTTGAATGCTGTGCCTTAATAGTGTCATTGTGAGAATGGACATCTACAGATCATGAAAAGAATATAAGGTACAGAAATGACTCACATTTATGTGCTAGTTGATCAGAGTTAAAACATGTGGTTATCAAAAGGCATAATTAAAAAAATGAAAATTCAGGCCACAGACTGGGAGAAAATATCTATAATGCATATATCTGACATAGGACATTTTCCTAGACTACATAAGGCACTCGCACAACTCAGTGGCAAGACACTAGCCAATTAAAGAATGGATACAAAGTTTGACCTGGAGCTTTACAAAAGAAGATACATGAATGGCCAGTAAGCACATGAAAAGCTGCTCAGCATGATTAGTCACCAGGAAACTTCAAATTAAAACCACAGCATATTACTACATAACCACTAGAATGCTAAAATTGAGAAGACTGACAATATCAAGCGAGGATGTGGAGCAACTCAAACTTTCAAGCCATTGTTCATGAAAATGTAGAGTTAAACATACAGCTTACCATACAATCCAGCAGTCTATTCCCTCCAAGGTATTTATTCAGGAGAAAGGAAAACATAGATTCACTCAAAGACTTACATAACAATGTTCCTAGTAGTTTTATTATTTATTTTTTTAAAGATTTTATTTATTTATTTGACAGAGAGAGAGCACAAGTAGGCAGAGAGGCAGGCAGAGGGAGAGGGAGAAGCAGGCTCCCCGCTGAGCAGGGAGCCCGACGCGGGGCTCAATCCCAGGACCTTG